AGAATGTGGAAGATCATGTCATGAACAGTTCAAAACTGAAAAGAGATTTTAAATATCTTAATCTAATCACGAGATACAGGGAGTTTAGAATCGAATTTTCCACCATTTTGTTACTATTTTTAGATTTTTCACGGTTTTTATAGTGAAATAACTTTGGATTAGGTTTAGATATTTAAAATCCGCTTTCAGTTTTGAACTGCTCATGATATGTTCTTCCAAATTCTGCGACAAAACTATTAAGATATTGAAAATAAATTTTAACTGGAGGTTTCGTGACGTCATTTTCCCGCCAAAAACCGTTAAATCTCAAAAATAAAAAACATACGATTGTTCGGAATGGAAAGTTATATTGATGTAGCAAGTTTCATGTCCATCCGAAGTATATTGAAAAAGTTTATATCAAATGGCCGATTTTTGGGAAGAGCTGACCCGGCGTGTTATAATCAGCAACCAGGTGGTGGTGAAGGAGGCATTTCAGTTACTAAATGTTTATAATCAGCAACCAGGTGGTGGTGAAGGAGGTATTTCAGTTATTAAATGTATATAATCAGGCAATCAGCAACCAGGTGGGGGTGAAGGAAGTATTTCAGTTATTAAATGTATATAATCAGCAACCAGGTGGTGGTGAACGAAGTATTTCAGTTATTAAATGTTTATAATCAGCAACCAGGTGGTGGTGAAGGAGGTATTTCAGTTATTAAATGTATATAATCAGGCAATCAGCAACCAGGTGGTGGTGAAGGAAGTATTTCAGTTATTAAATGTATATAATCAGCAACCAGGTGGTGGTGAAGGAGGCATTTCAGTTATTAAATGTATATAATCAGGCAATCAGCAACCAGGTGGTGGTGAAGGAGGTATTTCAGTTATTAAATGTTTATAATCAGCAACTAGCTGGCAGTTAACAGGTTAAGGAGAACATTTTGAGTTAAAAACGTGAAGGAGAACAGCCGGATAAATATAAAATTCAGTTATTAAATAAAGATTGCAAGGTAATGTCGATTACCAGATGACCAAACAAAGAGTCACCAAAATCCGTTTGTAGTAAGTTAAATTCAGCATCAATAGTAATGTTAATGAAAAGTTTCAAAGTGAAGATGGCCGGATGACCAAAACAAGACAATTAAAAGAGTCGCCAAAATCCATCTGTAGTAAGTTAAATTCAGCATCAATAGTAATGTTAATGAAAAGTTACAAAGTGAAGATTGCCAGATGACCAAAACGAGACAAAGAGTCACCAAAATCCATTTGTAGTAAGTTAAATTGAGCATTAATAGTAATGTTAATGAAAAGTTACGAAGTGAAGATTGCCAATGCCAGATGACTAAAACGAGACAAAGAGTCACCAAAATCCATTTGTAGTAAGTTGAATTTAGCATCAATAGTAATGTTAATGAAAAGTTACAAAGTGAAGATTGCCAGATGACTAAAACGAGATAAAGAGTCACCAAAATCCATTTGTAGTAAGT